GGCTTAATTTATTTTGTATTTCAGATTCAATTCCGTTTTATTTTTTATTTTATTTTAAGGTAGTAATTTTAGTACTTATTTTATTTAGTTGCCAATACAACATTTTTCATTTAGTTTTAAGTTTAGTTTTCATTTAGTTCAATTTTTTTGGTTGTCATTTTTATTAGTAATTTAAAAAAAATACAATTTATATTTAATTTATTGTATATTTCAGTTTGAATTAAGTTTTATTTAAAGTGTATTTATTTATTTCCAGTTAGTAATTTTAGTGCTTCATTTCTAATTTTCATTTAAAGTTTTTCATTTAATATTTAAATTTTATTGTAGCTTTACCTCAATTAACAAAAATGTTTTGGTTTAATTTTATTAAACAATAATAACCCTAGTGAAGATGTGTTTAGTGTTTGTCATGAAACACACAGTGGCCTGTAAATATCTGGACACTTACAAATTATATTCATATTCAATCTATTGTATTTTAGCATTTTTAACTACCAAACTTATTTTTCTCAAATGTTTTGATTGCAAAGTGTGTTTGTGCATCTTTCTTTAACGTAAATGACTTGTTTTGATATTTGTGACCCTGGAATACAAAACCAGTCATAAGGGTCAATTTTTTAAAATTGAGATTTATACAGAATCTGAAAGCTGAATAAATAAGCTTTCCATTGATATATGGTTTGTTAGGCCGAGTAATATTTGGCCGAGATACAACTATTTGAAAATCTGAGGGTGCAAACAAATCAAAATATTGAGAAAATCGCCTTTAAAGTTGTCCAAATGAAGTTCTTAGCAATGCATATTACTAATCAAAAAATACGTTTTGATATATTTACAGTAGGAAATGTATAAAATATATTTGTGGAACATGATCTTTACTTAATATCCTAATGATTTTTGGCATAAAAGAAAAATGAATAATTTTGACCCATACAATGTGTTGGCTATTGCTACAACTATACCCCAGCGACTTAAGACTAGTTTTGTGCTCCAGGGTCACATTTTGCATCTAATGCATTGACATTCACACATTTTGAATGCATTTTGGGGTCACTGTACAGGGGTCATCATGTACCGTAAACTCTGATGCATTTCATGCTGTCAACATTATTTATGACCTGCTCATGAATCCAGTGCTTGAAAAATGAGAACGGAGCGCTGGGAGTGCAGGAATTGCTGGCATTAGTCATTTATGAATTGTATTTCAGTGGTGTGATGTTTGGAGACTGTAACTCTTGTTCTACTGATGCTTCAGAAACACGTTCTGCTCCCTGTGGAGCCTCTATGTGACGTGAGCTTCCTCAGCACTAGAAGAAACCCTTTGCGATGCATGACACCGTGACGCCTTAGTTAAGTTAGTTAAAGTGAGTTAAACATGTTAATATGTTTGGAGATTGATGCATTAAAGCACGTGAGGTTAGTTTGGTTCTCTGGAGGAATGTCCACAAACACAACCACTTGAGACATCACATTCAGATTTTATTTTAGCCTCACCTCAAAACACTTGCAAATACCATGCATTTAAATACTATGGTAAATTTAAAAAACACAATAAATCGGTATCATGGTCTATTCTGATAACATCTCAGAAGTTGTTTCATACCTCAAAAGTCTTGAATGGAAATCTGAGGAATGCCTCCATTAAGTGTCAACTTTTTCCTCAGATTTATGGATTTATTAAAAATCTGAAATATTGTAATAAATATTTCTTATATATTATATGTATATTTCTTATACATTTTTAAAATCAATTTTAAATCTTTAAATTATAACATATTTATCAAGATAATTTTCGTTTTACTATGTTAAATTGTAACATATTATTATGATAGTAAGTGCCTTACTGCATTTAATTTATGCTAATTTTAAAATCATTACATAACTTTTTTCTTCTCGAAAAAATAGACCCAAATAAGTCACTAGTTGTACTCCAGCTATAAACTGAATTTGGTGAGCAGCTGATGAGAAATATTTGAGTTCATATTGAGACTTTTTATTGCACTATTTACGCAGTTTGACATTATTTTTGTGAAACGCACATTTACACCTAAATTCTCATTACTTTAATGAAGAAATCTTTCATTTTAAATCTTTAAACTGTAAAACATTAATCATTATAATATTTGTTTTACTGAATTTAATTTATGCTCATTTCAATTTTTAAATCATTAGATAACCTTTTTATTTTTAATCAAATTTATTTAAAAAGTAGACACAAATGAATCAATAGTTGTCATCCAGTTAGAGAATAGAGCTGTAAACTCAATTTAGAGAGCTTCTCAGATCATATGTGTGCCTGGAGCACAAAAGCAGTCTTAAGTCGCTGGGGTATATTTGTAGCAATAGCCAACAATACATCGTATGGGTCAAATTTATCGATTTTTCTTTTATGCCAAAAATCATTAGGATATTAAGTAAAGATCATGTTCCATGAAGATATTTTGTACATTTCCTACTGTAAATATATCAAAACGTAATTTTTGATTAGTAATATGCATTGCTAAGAACTTAATTTGGACAATTTTAAAGATGATTTTCTCAATATTTAGATTTTTTTGCACCCTCAGATTCCAGATTTTCAAATAGTTGTATCTCAGCCAAATATTGTCCTATCCTAACAAACCATACATCAATGGAAATATTATTTATTCAGCTTTCAGATGATGTATAAATCTCAATTTCAAAAAATTTACCCTTATGACTGGTTTTGTGGTCCCGGGTCACATTTGATGAGAAATATTTGAGTCCATATTGGGACTTCTGATTTTTTTATTTCAGACTTTAGTGTCTTGAGCAAATCTGAGCACAATTTGAAACATTAGTGAGATCTCCTCTGCGTGACTAATAACACTCTCCTCACACATATGAGAAAAACCTCTGAGAAGCATCTAATTTGCGATGTGTCATTCCTGTGGAGTCACTCTGTTGTAGTCTCACCGCAGAAAACTTTTGTATGGAAAGCTTTAGATTGCTCTGTGATTGAAGGATAAATCACCTGCTGCACAAACATCCATGAAACAGCCCGAAACACAAACTGAAGGACTGTAAGGACAGCGGGATATAGAGTTATTATTCGAATCATCTTCTGATTGATACAACTGTGCACTTAACTGAATCTGCAAGAGCTCCATTGAGACCCAGCTGACTCAAACTGAAGGACAAACATCTGATTCACGGCAGAGCTGAAGCTGAAGCACCACGTCACACGCGTGAATAATGAAGAGAAAGTTCATGTTTAGAAGCTGCACAGGCTCTTCTTTGTTGCAGTGTTGTCAATTGCAGATTGTAGTGTTGCAATCTTGCCTTTTTACACTTTAATTTGGCCAGATGTGAATTATTTTCATCTACGTGCCATAGAGACTAGGCATGGGCCTATTACCGGTTTCAAGGTATACCGCGATTTGAAAATGTCACGGTTTCAAAACCGCTAATATTTTCCATTATACCGTTCCTACGATATGCGCTGTT